TACTGTATACACATACGTGGCACGTCCGATTTCCAAGATAATCTCACCCTTAAACCTAGCTTTTTATTAATCTGCTCATAATCAGCTACTTTCACTGACTTTATGTTCCTAAATCAAGTTTATTTCTATGCTTAAAAACAGTGACATCAAATGTGCAAATGTGTTAGTTTCTCAATATACCAGTAGTACTTAATTTGAGTGTTTTGCTTTGCAAAGCAAGTTATTTATTTGTCAATGCCAGTGCTGTATGTTTTCAGTTTAAATGATGTTTTTGTTAACATGTTACACGTAACTGATTCTCCCTGATTATATCACATTATTTATTATGCAGATTCTGCAAAAGCAGCATACAGTAAGTGTATTTAAACTCAGTGCTCAGTTCAGTGCTGCAGTATAAGTGCTAGGAGTTATATATGTATTTTTTACCACTTTGAATAATTAGATTCATCCTTTCTGCCCCTCATGGTTCTGTACCTGTTGCCAGGATGTGCTCCAGCAGGTTTCTGGAGCAGTACTGTGCCACTGTGGTGCCTGCATGTCCATCAAAAACAGCAAAGTACCCCCAATCCTTCAGGTCTCCTGTCAGCTGGGGCATGCAGGTGTGGGCGTCCTCCATCTGAGCCCTCCAGCCCTGCATGCTCGCCACAGCGTAGTTCATCCCTGACTGAGATTCCCCCTCTGACACATGTTTCTCCAAGATGGGCCGATCCAGATACGGGCTCGGCATCGAGTCGTCGTCGTCGAAACTGTCTTCCTCCTCAGATCCAGTTTCCCTGGGCCCCCCTTTGAAAAAGAAGGTGACCATCTTCTCCGTCTCTTTGACTAGCTGGCGGAGGAAGGAGGGTACCTCCACGTTGCTGGCACGCCTGGCCGTCTTCATCACTCCGCGAAGCCTGTTTTCAAGCTTCTTGCTCGACCTGGCAGCAGCCCGTCTCCTCCTGGTGACCCTCCTCCGGCCCTGTGTTTTCCGCAGCAGGTCCAGCGCAGCAATTAAGCTGTGCTACCCCAAGCAGGTAAACAAACAGTAACCTCAAATAAGAAGAATCCTGTTAAATGAAAAACTGAGTTGGTTTTCTGTTTAAAATTATCAGGCCCATTTTTGCGTCCCTGTGGGTACAGTCTGAGAATCCTTCTTCTGTCCTTTGAATTTGACAATTAGACCATCAGGTGTCTTCCTCTCACTGTTCCTGTCTTCCCTCTGTCTATTCTTTACCTGTCCTGTATCTACCCTGTGCTTCTATTGGCCTATCTATTTCTGTTGATTGATCCCTTTGCTCCACCTACTGCCTCCCTCCCTCCCTCCCTCTGTCTGTGTAACGCTGCGGGATAATCACCTGGCCTTCAAGGAAGCCCAGGTGACTCGTGTCTCCTCACAAGCATGGATTATGAGCATGACATTTTACAACAACACAGCGGGATCCCAGTCAGTCACACCTGTCAGCATGGGATTAATGGCTGAGACAAACAATATTGCAAACAATAGGCTGAGTGAACAACACTGCTGTATGCTTCTGTTGCATACAGGAGGTATGGGACTTACTGTGGGGAGCTCAGGGTATATTGAACTGAAATATGCATGAAGAATAGAGTTTCAGGGTAAATTATTCAGCTTGGAAACAGCAGTTTACAAAACAACTTTGTGTCAAGGTGTGTTTACTAGCTGCTCTGGAGCTTTTGATCGTGTCACATGGTCGTCGTAAGTAGAGAGTTTGAACAGTTTTACCCAGACTGGGGTTTCTGAGGTAAAATAATCAATATGTAAACTTTGAAAGACAACTGCTAAGCCAATATGGGCAGGAAGTCATTACATTTAAAAAGAAATGAAAATATGAATGCATAACTTTACATGACAACTGAAGCCTGTTTCATAAAGCGAGATTCAGAAGGAAGAAGCTTTACTTTATTAATCTTGCTTTGTGATGCAGGCCCCAATGGTCTTGGGAAGTTACATGTTCAAATTTCCAATGGGTTAACCAACTATGATACCTCTTTTGGGCTTAACTCAGGTTTTCCAGTATCATAAAACTTTTATCTAAAGTTAAGAAAGCAATATTAAAAATGAACATCTAAATGTGATTCAGAAAAAGTAAAATAAAAGATAAATACATCCTAAAATTAAATAAAAAAGAAGAAAGAAAGAAGAAAAAGTTGCCCAGGTTAAATGTCAGTCTTTCTAAATTTGTGTAATATGTTTACATACATACTACCCTGCCCTGTATGTGACTTCCTGCATCCCAGCCACGCGTCCTAATCTCATTAGCTGCTGTGTATTTGGAGCTCCTGGCCTGGTTTACATGTAGGAACCCCTGAGGTTTAACAGCGTTAAGGACTATATGTGTGATAGTTTGTTCTTGTCCAGCTTTAAGTAGGACTAAACCTTTTATCAGGGCCTCTGCTGGCAGTGTTTCAGTGTGTCTATTTACCTTTTATTAAGACCGAGCACGCACACAGCAAATTAGACGTCACAGGATGTAATTACCCTGTGACTGTTTTTACTCAATATAATTCGCACAGCACTTTTGAATACGAATATGGAATTGTTAAATTAAGTGTCTGTCTATATCACATCACTCGTGTGGGTAGCAAAGCCCACTTGGTTAAAGGTACAGTTGGTAACTTTTATGAAAATAACATATTTGCTTCGGCTGAAACCGTATTCTGAAAGAAGTAAATGAGACAGATAGTCTGTAAAAAAAAAAAAAATTAAAAAAAATCATATCCCCGCCACCCCCTCCTCTTCCACTGCGTCTTACAGAAAACAACCAATCAGAGCTGAGGAGTCTCTAACACAGCTGTCAATCATGTCAGTCACTGCTCCTGAACTGTGGTCAAACTGTCAAACTAGGCAGCGCTGATCAAATGTGAATCAAGATTCTGTTGCTGCATTGCCTGTTTCCCTCCTCATGTGTTTTCAGAAACATATTTTAGTGTACTGTTTGTGTGGCTGTAAAATAATTAAGTTTGGATATTGCATGTTGGATAATAGTCAACTGAGGTACCAAGCACCACCTACCAACCAGACCAACTTTCATTTCACAGCTAAACAGTACACTAAAATATGTTTCTGAAAACACATGAGGATGATTGACATGATTGACAGCTTCATTAAACTGTTTTGCTCTGATTGGTTGTTCTCGTTAACCTGAGGTAAGTAGCACTACAAAGCACTAGAGTCATGCCCCCCGGAGCAGCACCAGGCTTTGAAGCCAGTTTTACTTAGTGTCCAAATGTGTAATTACAACGCCCAGGTCTGTGAGGCCATTGGGCCCAACAGACTTTTTCCCTTAGACTTACACTGAGAAAGAGACATCTGAAAACCAGCGGATAAATTTTTTTGAGCGTCAAAATCCCACAAAATGACTTGTTTCCCAATTGGGATGTGATTAATTCAGTCCCATAACATTTCGTAGGTCTCAAAGACCCACATGATTGAATCATTTTTGTCCCCATTCAAGTTAGTGTAGCGCTATATCGAAAATAAGCTGCTTGGCTGATGTAAGTTTCTAGTGTGCCTGCTCTGTGGACCCCACGATTTGGAAGATCTGGGTAATTCCATGCACTTCATGCGCTACTGAGCAACTTTTGTAGTAATGAGCGTGGCCCCGCCTCTAATGTTGTCGCCAGTTCTCTTTAAACATTCATGAATAGACCAGGCAGAGAAATTTTTTTTTTTTTTTTTTCACTGATGATCTGTCTCATTTAGTGTTGTCTGAATGAGTTGCTGCCTCAAGTGAAGGAGTTCAAGTATCTCGGGGTCTTGTTCACAAGTAAAGGTAGAATGGAGCATGAGATGGATCGGCAGTTTGGTACGGCTTCTGCAGTGATGCGGGTGCTGCGGCTAAGCGTCATGGTGAAAAGGGAGCTGAGCCAGAAGGTGAAGCTTTCGATTTACTGCTCCATCCTAACCCTCACTTATGGTCATGAGATTTGGGTAGCGACCGAAAGAATGAGGTCGCAGAGACAAGCAGTCGAAATGAGTTTCCTCTGTGGGGTGGCTGGGCTCAGCCTCAGAGATATGGGAAGGAGCTCAGACATCTGGAGGGAGCTCGGAGTAGAGCCGCTGCTCCTTTGCGTCGAAAGGGGTCAGTTGAGGTGGTTCAGGCGTCTGATCAAGATGCATCCTGAGTGCCTCCTGTTAGAGGTGTTTTAGGCACCACGTTTCACTGGTAGGAGACCCCGGGGCAGACCCAGAACACGCTGAAGGGATTACATATCTCATCTGGCCTGGGAACGCCCCAGGGTCCCCCAGGAGGAGCTGGAAAGTGTTGCTGGGGAGAGGGACGTCTGGGGTGCTTTGCTTGGCCTGCTGACCCCACAACCCGGCCCTAGATAAGTGGATGAAAATGGGTGGATGGATGAATTAAGTGGCACTTTCAGAAAATATGAAAAAAGTTATTTCTTATAAAAGTCAACTATAGCTTTAACTCACTTTGTATTTCTTTATATCTTTTATTTCTTTCTCCAAAAGTTACATTCTCTCTCTTTAAAGAACTGTTGGTGTTTTTTTATATATAATTCAAAGTGAAAAGGCCACATGTTCCTTCATTTGCTCCTCTAACCCTTCTCCATTAATCATGATGCAAACAGTTTGAAACAGCATCTGTCACAGCTACACACTGCTGCCCCCTGCTTTTCACTGCTGCACAGGCCTCACTTCCCATTGTAGAAAAAAAGAAGAAGCTTTGAGTCTGTACATTATTTATACTGCAGCTTTTATGATTAATTTAGCTGTGGTTTGTTTTTATAGTTAAATACTAATTTCTTACAGCCTGTGTGAAACTGGAATGTGATGCTTAATTAAACACAGTAAAGCTGATAAACCTTACATGCTGGTAAGCTTTGAACCTGACTGTGGCTTCAGCCTTTCCTGCCAGCTTCACATGCATCCTTCTCTGTGTAGGTTATGTATATGCTCATGTTATACATTATTAATGACTTATTACTCCTTCTCTTGCAGCCTGCCCCTATGAGATCCTGAGATGAAATCACATGATGAGGGAGAGACACACCGATAAGCTATGAATGGGGGATGGCAGCCGGCTCAGACTGACTCAGGGACACACTCCTGCTTCTCTAGCGTACCTCACTACAGCTGCAGTCAAAGCGATGCAAGAGGAGATGACGAGAGGAGAGAGCATGGTGGAGGGAGGCAGGCAGGGCGGGGCTGCTGAGTGACAGCAGCAGGAGGCAGGAGAGTGAGGAAGCTGCTCAGCAGACGACCAAGAACCAGAGAGAGGAGGAGGAGGAGGAGGAGAGAGAGAGTCTATCCACAGGACGTGAGTGCCGGCAGCAGAGGAGGGGGGGGGGCTTCCAGACTGGATGGGCCCAGCGATGCCTTGATGGAGTATGGGCCAGGTTTTAGGATTCTCCCACTGCCGTGAGTCTGCTTTTGTTCTGCTGTTTCCATCTGTGTTTTCCTTGCAGGGGTCTTCATATGTTTATCTCACTGTGCCATCGTTGTGTTCCAGCTCAGCATCTTTTTTTTTTTGCTAACTGCTATAAGCATCGTATGTGTTAGCTCAGCCCCTCTCCCCTCCCTGCCTGCTCTCCATTCCTCTCTCCTACCTTTAATAAACACATGGCTGAATGGACGGATGCGGTGCAAAGGGAGACCTATTCTGTTGTCGCTGCCTCCAGTTGATTTACAGATGTTTATGTGGTTATGTACGAGGAGGCTTTGCAGGCAGGCATGCCAAGAATCCAAGTTATTTCTTCCCTAAAAGCTTCTGCTAAGCTATCATATCTGTGTTTTATTTTATCTTTCTGTCACACCTGATATTCTTACAATAGAATTAAAGTAGTGTATGAGTATTTGCACATGTTCGTACATGCGTAGAAGAGAGCGTGGTGCATTCGTTGCTCTGCTTGGACTGATTTATTAGCTAATGTCATGCTGGCTGACTAGTGTAGTGAAGGCCTTTACTGCTGCCAGTTTAGCTCTGTGAGGACATAAGTCTGTATTCACTGACCTACAGTATGACGAGTGTCTGTGTTCTTGAATCACAGAAAGCAAAGTTCACTGTGCAAACTTTAAAATATGACTCATAACAAAGCACTGCAGTGTTTGTCGGGGCTTCTGTGGCATTAGTCATTTCATGTTCATGCACACTTGTGTTGAATGTTTGGAGAGGTAAACTGGTAAGATGAATGTGAGGTGGTTTAAGCAGAGGTATGGACTCGAGTTGCAATTTGACTTGGACGTAAACACCAATGACTCGTGACTTCCCAGGACTCGAGCCTTGAGTATGTTATTTAAATAGTGTGACACAAATTAATTGGTTTCCTTTAATTTCTTGAATCAACTACGACTATTCATTCCCAGTGAGTTGATACTTTATTCGCCACATCCATTTCGTTTGAACTGTTGCATAACTGAGCACCATTTGGAGCAAAAAAAAAATACCATAGATAACTTTGTTCACATGCAAAAACTACAGTGGACAACAAAAAACAAATTAGAGTATGCAAAATATCCGGTTGGAAATTACAGACACAACAACTTCCAACAAACTTCAAACAACTTAGCTTTTGTATATTCAGTATACTGTTATTCTGTTGTTAAAAGAGCATTACATTTGGTGAGGAGCACATTATGACTTGTTTAGTACCCAAAACTCAAAGTTTAGGACCTGGGACTTGTTTCAGAACTCACCTGTCTTAGCTTAGGACTTGAGTGCCAAGACTTGCAAAACAATGACATGGTCCCACCTCTGGTTAACAGCATGTAAAAACAGTAACAACACATTTATATTTCTGACAGTCTTTTGCGACGACATGTTAAGATTTATGTAAAATTGTGTCTTTTCTCTTCCAGAGGAATATGGCTCTGTGGCATCCACTCCGGACTCAACTCCTCCATGCACCGATGGTATGAAGCAGACGTCTGACACACATTCTGTCTCACAATATTTATAAGAATGAGAGATTCCTACTTCCTGAATCCTTTTCTTTTGAACTTAACATTAGAGGAAAACATCTGAACATCTCTCTCACCTCTAAAACACCAGCGGGGGTAGACACAGAGATACAGTTTGATCACAGCCACATTTTGGAAAGGAGTGATGTTTATGCACTTATCAAAGAGGGTTTCATTCACTTTAGATGTCACACCTTTTTCTCCCAGGCATCAAATGACACACCTGGCTGCTTTCATCTGGCAGAGCTATTTATTAAAGGGAAAATCACTCTCTGTGATTGACACTAATATACACACTCTTAGCAGCAGTCTCTATAATTTAATAAACGGCTAAGTGTGTATTGTTTGTCTATATTTAGTCTCTCTCTGTGTTACAGTGACCACATTTTTTTATTTTTGTCTCCATTCAGGCGGAAACGAGGAGTCCGAGATGTGCGAGCTGCAGACAGCCAGGGAGTGGTCTGACGACGACGTGGGGGGAGATGGAGATCCAGATGATGACGAGGGACTGGCTTCATCCCCGTCCATTTGGGGCACGCCGCGCCAGCACTCCTACGAGCTGACTTTCTCTTACATCGCCATCGCCGAGGCCGAAGCGGTGGGAGCCTCGAGACACATCCGTGACAGACGCAGGGGCGGATCTCGGGGAAGTCGCACCCCTTTGATCCGCACGGACACCCTGGAAACGCTGCTGGACTCCCCCGATGTAGATTGGGACCCTCAGGCCTTTGTCAATCAAGAGGAAGAAGAGGAAGAAAGGAGAGAGCAAGGGAGGGCTGAGGCAGCAGAGAGGAGGGAGCAGCACAGACAAACTGAGACTATTACAATTCAGCCCTCTCCCCAAAATCTGGACCCAGAAACTCAGGAGAGAGACGCAGGAATCCAAAGAGAGGAATCTCCGAGCAGTCTGACCCAGATTGCCCAGCATCCCTCCCAGTCTTCCCAGCATCAAAGCCCCTCACCGATACATCAAGGTGAGAATCAGGAATGTGTGAAGAGGTTGTTTTATTTTGTGTAATGGAAGACTGAAAGATGCAGTGTCTTTGAATGCTCGTGATGGCCCAGCATCATCTCCCAGCTTAAATCAAAGTTACAGAGTCAGATTGAGAGAGACCCCCCTCTCTCTGTCTCCAATCCACATCACATACCCAACAGCTCATCTGTTGCTTTGACAGGTACTTCAGAGGATGCTTCCCAGATTTACGTCTGGTTTTCACTTCACCAAATAATGGTGTGCAGAGTGATCGTCTGCTAATTCTTTCTAATTCCAATCTGCTGTCTGTGATAATGAATATCAGAAGCTGATTATAAAGTCTGACCTCTGAAGAATTTAAATGTCTTTTCTTGAGGCAGACTTGATGTGATGTGGCACAGAGGCAGACGTTATGACAAGACATTGGCATTTTATAATGTTTTTGTGAGAATGTGATAGATATTCAGGTCACATATCATCAGAGTGGTTATATTTTCCACTTCCTGTACCAGCCTTTGTCACACCAGGCATATGACGTGTGATTTTTGGAAAAGTTTACATTTATAAGAAGGCCACATTTTTTTTCAGTCCAGTTTTTCTTCATTCATTTTGACATGAAATGATTCGCTGATCAATATCAGGTGCAGACAGCTTTCATTTTAGGGTATTTTAGCTGTATAATGAGAATAAAACAAGCCCAACGTATTTATCACCAACCTTTTTAGAGTGACAGAATTTATTTGGACATATTATTTCACTCCTAAAAGGCACTTTTATTGTGTTGCTAGAAATGCTGACTGAGGCATCACCAGACTCTGAACATTTTATGGACAGTTTAATGTCTAAATTGCTCCACAGCAATATGTAGTTCTTTAAAATGGTGAAAATGTAAAACAAAACAAAAGATTTACAATATCAAATCAGCCAGAAACTGTCAGACACCTGCTACAGACATGATGGATTGCCAGTAATAAGATGATTTTATTTCCCAGATTGCTATTTCCTGAAAAGTTTGTATAAAAGTTGTAAATATGGAAATATTGAGCTAAATCTGTAACCACAGCACAAATGTTTCAGTCCAAATACTGTGGCACACTGTGGATTTAAAAATGGAGTTTTGTCAGGTAGTTTTAGCTCAAGCTGAGCATGTGCAATGATGTCATCATGATAGTGACATCATCTTTTGTTTCCTGGCAGCAGCAGCCTCACCGACCCCCGAGCCAGAGTCTCCCGTCACCAGGGAGAGCATTTCAGTCAAGCTCCTTACATCTGTGCGACCCAGAGGCCCGGCGTCCTCGTCGCCAGCTGCTATTGGTCGAAACTCTCAGGAACAGCTGGTCAGCGATCACTGGTTTTCAGCACTTAACCTATCAGAGGACCCGACAGTATGCACTCACATAGCAGGTACAAGATTCACATCTGTGTCTGTCCTTCCTCCCTCCCTCCCTCCCTCCCACCTCTCTGTCTCTGTCTTGATGATGAGCAAGATCCTCTCCCTCAGCTCCTGAGTCGATACTTTAAATAAGGAAAATCTCAGATTTCGCTCTGGACCTCCGAGAGCAGGCAGACAAAGATAGACCCCCTCCCCCGGAAGTCCTGCCTGTTCATTGTGTCTCCATAGTAACCCTCTCCTGGGGATTGCGGGAATGATTGGCTAATTGTGGGGATGGCATTCTTGGCATTGGCTGACTTTTTGGACTCGCACACCAACACTGCTGATGTCAGAGTGTATCACTGTTTCACACACAAACACACACACACAAACACACACACACACACACACACACACACACACACACACAGAAAAACATCAGGTGTGTGTCTTCATATGCAGATTTATGGGAATCTGTTGGTTATTTACGAGTGTTTGAGACACAGAAAGAGAAAGGTAGAAAGAGAAAGCAAGAGATAACGTCCTATCCTGCAGCATGGAGGTATTTTAAGTGGACAGTCAGTCAGGGGAGAGCTCAGTCTTATTTTAGTGGATGTGGAGGGGCGGTGAACCCTCGGACCGTTGATGAATGTGTGGTCAGGCTGATGACAGAGTTTAAGGTTTCCTGAATAAATAGCACACATGATGCATCTATTGAAGCCTCACATTGCTCCTGGTTTTATAACTATAACTTTAAGGGCTGCATATAAACCTGGATGCTTTTTTGGCACCTTCTCCAGCACTGAGTAACTGTCATATATAAAAAGCCTGCCAATTTCAGGACCCTTGTTATAAAGGTGAAGAGCTTGTGCAGCTGATTGTGTTTAGACAACATTAAACATTTGAAAAGCTGCTTTTATTAAGTGAAAAAGGTATGTAAAGTATCGAAAATAACTAAACCACTCAAAACATTTTAACATGCAGGATGGGAGGAGAACAAAACATGCATGATGATGTGTTGCAATGGTGATGACAATATTCTGGTATTGTCCAGTAATAGTCCAGATTGCCTGTGTTTTCTCCTTGTGTGAAGGAGCTATGTAATATTCAGTTGTAATCTCTGTCGTTGAGGACGGCAAAAAGTTGAACACAATGCCGTCCACTGTTACTGTTGCTGGTGTTCTCTGCTGGCATGCCCAATTTTACAATCCTGCTCTTGTCCACTAAAATGACATCCGGTTTGACATTGCCGTCAGTCTGATTCCGTGTGAATGCAGCATAAGTCTTGTCCAAATCAGACTGCTGAATCACTCTGCATCTCAAATAGATGAATTACACACTGACATGAAATTCTGTCAGATTATCAGGCTGTTTGTCATCAGGCATACTGACCTTCTCCTCAGAGATTTTACAATCAAACAAGATTTGTTTTTAACCACATTTACAATAATCAACTATGGAGTGAATTCATCCCCAGAAAATCATTGCGTCTATTTGTTATCTGTAGTGGCGGCACAGAAAGGTCTGGCTTGGTGACATAACAGAAAATAAACCCTGGTTCTCGTGTTACAGGTGTTAGATGACACATGAGTATGAACACAACTCGATATAATTTTATCTGGGATCAAATGAATATCTTAAATTCCTTCTGCTTCAGAGTGAACTTTTGTACTAAGAAGGAAGATCCAGTGATTTTGAGAGTATCGTGTGATTGTCGTGAATCATCTCTTTCTGTGCGAAGCTCTTGGAGTCTTGATGGGAGGTGGGCGGTGCTGTGAACAAGATTATTTTTGGGCTGCCAGGCCTTTGGACTGCTGAGCGAGCAGGGGGTGGCCAAAAACAGCTCAGAGGAGCGAGGGGGACGCAGTGGGACACAGTGAGGGACAGAGGGTGTGAGAGAAGCACTGGAGCGGCAGCCAACATGGCCAGTAAAGGTGAGAACACAGGCTCGAAGCGAAATGAAGATAATTTGAGATCCTAGATGATGATTTTGCTTACAGTGTCAGCTGATAGGTATCTGCTGTAGATAGTGTTTCCTTTCAGAGGGAAGGCAGAGGATAGCGATAGTCTCAATTGTGAAGGGGTAGAAACCTTTTCTAGTCTTTAGTATTGGATTGTCTGTGACTGTGGTGTAGTGGTGTGAGGCTGGACTATCACGGGACTGAAGGTGGGATTTGAGCGGATTTCTTGCTTCTCTTTGATCATTTTACAAGCAGAGTCTCTGGAGGTGTGCTTGGCTTTTCACTGATGAGCTGTTCAGATGTAGCAGGGTAGTCTCCATATCAGAAGCCGTCATTTAAATTAGCAGTCACCATTCAAATGAGTGTAAACTGTCCTGTTGTGGTATGCTTTTGGCAGATAAGTTAATTTGCCAGCTGGGCACTCTTACATTTTAGTGTTTCCGCTTTAGGGTGAGGAGCTGGCACGAGCAGAGACACTTCAGTGTGTAGTACTACAGTGTGAGATTTCCTGGACACGTGGTTTAGGTGGCACGAACTGGGTCAAATACAAAGGATGTGGATGTTGAAATGAGATGACGTCAGGCTGCGTTGACATTAAGTATACGTGAGCCGTGTGATTTCTGCTCTAGTTGGTTAATTGATTGATTTCCTTTTATGCTTATTTATATAATAAGGGTCCCTTAGGATAAGTACACAAAGATAAATTCTGCTGGTTTGGGTTGCATGATTGTGGTTCAAATAATGTCCCATTTGATTGGAGGTAATTACTACTCATCGATTACTGAGTCATCGCGGCTGCTGACTCTACAGCTGCACATGAAGTCCACTTGAAGTATATTAATGCTGGTACAACAGGCTTAGTTGGGGTGAATTAATAGTGGCAGTATAAAGAATAAGGAAGCTTTAAGTCCCCCCAATGGCTCATTTATACTCCCTTTATGTACAGAAATAGATACATTTGTAACAAACCTTGTGATTGTCACCGCCCACATACCCATGCATCCTTTATGTTGGCATAGATGCATCCACTAGATGGCACTAGAGGGCGGAGTCAAAAGTTTCTGACAAAAGGATGTCGTAATAATGTACCTTTTAACAACATCAATGTGTTGTAGACGGTGGTGGTCTTTGAGGCCATTAAATATATTGCAACACACTGTATCGGAAATATTACTGATTTGTTTCATACCGCCACTTTTTAAATATCTTTGTTGTATCCTTCGGTCATGTCTTGCCTAAAGCATGCTATACTCTGTCCCTATATGTTAGCTTTCAGAAGACATCCACAAATATTGAGTAACAGAGGACAAAGGGCTCCGTCCTGTGTCTGTGTTTAGCATAAATGTGCCTTAAAGAAGCAGTTTACTGGCATCTAGTGGTGAGGACTATATATTGCAACCAGCTGAAACTTCTCCCATGTGCCAAGCATGATCTTCTGGTTAGGATTCCTTCAGTGGTCTTTGTTCAGGAGGTTTCTTTTCAGGAGATAATTAATTATCCACAGAGTTCTTCTCCTCTCCAAAACAAAAAACGGTCCAGGTGATTAAAACCAGTAAAAAAAAAAAAATCCGGAATAAAGCAGTTTCACGTTACAAATCAATCTTTCTCTGATGCTCATTGGCTCACCGAGACAGGCTGCTAGCCCAGCACCAGCTAATGTGTGCTTAACTTTTTTCTCTGATAACTTAAGATCCAGATGTTCAGGAGGTTTCCTCCTCTCCAAAACAAACTGACCCGGTCATTTAAACCAGTAAAGCAGTTTCACACTAAAAAAATCTCTTTTTCCGACCCTGTATGCTGCAGAGAGGCTGCTAACTACAGTGACTACTGCGAAAACGCAGATGTCCCTTTCTAGAGCCAGTGTTTGGTTTGTCTGTTCTGGGCTCCTGTTGAAACATGACAGTGCATCATGACAGACATGGACGAGGTTCTGTTCCCTATGTAGATGTACAGCTCGTTAAACGGCAACCCATCATAATGAGAATGTCATGCCTCCTGTAGTGCGGATGCATAGGTGCTTTCTATAGACATTGTCTTCAGAAGCTTTCAGTACTCCGGTATGAGTTTCTTTCTGTTGTTCTTATTTAATTAGTCGCCGTCTGTGCTGAGCAGCTCTGTCCCAGAATGACAGCGGCACAAACAAACATGTTGGACAGGTGTGTTCCAGGAGCATCATGGGTATTAATATTGTGCAGTGATGCTTATAAATAACCCACCTGCTGTCAGTGCACTCTATTCAAAGAGGCTTCCCTTTATTCTAATGCTGAGGCTTAGCGTTTCACTGAATGACAGGCACAAAGAGCCGTGCCTGTCTGACAGCGCTGCTGCACCGTAACACCAACCCTGTAATTACACATCACTGACACACTTTTGTGACGCATCACACATAAAGGTAAATTTATGTAAAGAGAAACATGTGTTGTTTGAAATCACGTATTCTACTGTACATACTGAAGTTGTCATGACTCTACAGACACCACAGTATCCAGAGCAGCTGTTGCTGGGTGACAAAGCGGGACACCAACAGGGTGTGGACAAGGGGGCTGCTGACTGCCTGATGTCTGTCAGCAGGTGCTGCGAAAGGCTGCATTTAAATTCTCCTCGAGCACTCGCTTCCCTCTTTCATCTGAGGGCTAAATTTAGCCGGAGCAGGAGCCGGAGCCTGATGTGTCCTCGAAGCTGCTGTGTGTGTTCTCTCATGCTGGAGGCTGGAAATCCTTTTCTGCCTCATGGCCCCCGTGTTGTCCACTTCTCTAGCCTCTCTTCCACATCCTCCCCTCCTATCCCTGTGTCACGACTGCATCTTCCTGACACTTTTACTCTCAGTAGGCCCCTGAAAAATGAAAACATGTCTTGATGGGTCTAAGGGCTGGAAGATGATTGATGTTGCTGTCAGCTGCTCTGTTAAAACCAGGAAGGAAGCAGTAACTCACAATGATGTCAGCTGTGTGCAGCTAGAAAATATCTGTTTGAATTGTACAAACCAGCCATGTAAATACATTTCTATAAATTTAATCAGTCTATTCTATCAGTGTATTCTGCCTCAAAAGCTACCTGTACATTGTTTACATCACATCACCCTCTTCACCTTCCTGTCGTAACCTTTCTCTTCTCTTCCCCTTCATTTCACATCCTCCGCTCTCCTTGTCTTTCAGTAATGGACCTGATCTACTGGAAGGACACGGAGCGAACAGGCATGATCCTAACGGGCTTAGTGGTCGGCCTGCTGTCCCTGTTCCAGCTCAGCATCATCACCGTCATCTCCACAGTCTCACTGGCTGTCATGTGCTTCACCATCTCTGTGCGCATCTACTACCAAGTCCTCTACATCCTGAACTGGGGTGACGGAGAGCACCCCTTCAAGTAAGATGCTAGGCTTTTATTTATTCTTTAAGGTCAGTGGACATTTCATCCAGCTTCTCCAAAAAGAATAAAGAGAGTGGTCAAATTACACAACACACAGAGGCGGATTAACCCCATTCAGTCACAGTGCATGAGTGTTTTCCAAAACAAGCGCCTGAGTTGATTTGGCCCTGAGCCTATCCTCTCAAATTTTTATTTTCTTTCCTGGGTGAAGCAGACTTCCTGCATTCTAAAATTCACCTATAAAATACTGTGCTTACACCCAGTAAATAAATATTTAGTAGCTCCAGTTATGGTTATTAAATGGTGGGATACCAGGTTCAGGTAGTTAAGTCAGGCTCGTAGTAAAAAGCATCATGCTGTGTCATTGTGTGCTCTTACGCAAATATGTGTTTTACTGCATTTTTAACCTTCTTTTTATCAAAACTAAAGTATAAATGACAGTCATATATAATTTTTCAGAGACAATAGATACAATCCATCCCATCCCACCTAATCCCAGGGCATCCCAAACCAAAATAAATGAAATTAGATAAATAAGAACAACAATAATGATAATGGAAATAGCAAGTAATTTAACAAAAAGAAAATGAAAGCTGGAGAGTTACGTCCTGCATTAGGTGTCAGAAATAATAATTGAAAAATTTATGACAAGATTGTGTGTCACCGCATGCCATCACTGAGCATTTCACACTCATAGGTCATCAGGAAGGGATTTTAGTTTCGTTGAGGTAAGACATAACACTGTTCCAGGTGGAGTAAAATAATCCCTGGATGTCCTAAGTGTGTATTTAATCTTTTCAAGACTTAAGTGGAGCATAAGATCACTCATCCATCAAGACATGTTCTGTAGCTTAGGAGATTTCCAGTGCAACAGAATCCTTCTATAGGCATGGAAAGTGGTGAATAATAACAGTTTTCTGTATAGTTTTCTGTGATAAATAGCCAACATAAGCACTTTCACCAATTATGGATCAGTGATACCCCTTCCTAGGTATGATTTGACAGCTGCATAGATTATATTAATTATTAAAGCTCAGTGGTGAGTGGTGACAAAGCAAATTGAAAAGCTTTGACAGGGGGATATTTATATGTGGACTTGAAGGATTGCAGCCAAAGAACATGAAGCACAGGATGGATGATGTTTCTGTTTGTTTGTTTGTCAGTACGTCAGTAATGATTTTCAGCCTCCTTTATAATGCATCTCATATCTTCTGTTGTTGTCTCATTCTCTCTCAGGTCATACCTGGGCCTGGACATCAGTTTCAGTGGAGAGGAGGCTGATGGTTATATGCAGAAAGCCATCGTCATGGTTCTGTCTGCTCTCGACTCTCTGAAGGGACTCTTTTTTGTTAGAAACCTCGTTGAGTCCATCAAGGTGAGTTTAGCTGGCATATTAAGTTAGTCTTAAGTGTGTGTGTGTGTGTGTGTGTATGTGTGCGGAATGTTCAGACTCTCATTAAAACTCCTAATAACCTGTCCTCAAAGATATGTCTCCCCCTGTTTGAACCTCTCCTCCTCATTAACCCAGACAGGTCAGTCTGACACTACGTTCTTTCATTTTTTCTCCATTATTTTTCATCATCCCAAGTGCCCTCCATCACTGGAGATGAGGGCATTACCATGCCACCCGCCTCTCTCATTATGCCAGCTCAGAGCTGAAGACCGCTCCTAAATTAGGGCAATATCACTGACGGCAACTGTCAGCCCCAATGACATATTTTTGGTAATCATGTGGAAAGCAATCGGTCCCTTTGGAAAAATCCTTTCAAATTAATTTGAATTGGTACTAACAGCATAAAAAAGAAGCAGTCTGCCTTGCCTTTCTCATCTGTGCTTTTTAAAGGCCTCTGGGTAGGCTATGCCTCCCTCGCTGGCAGAGCCAAAGCACTGACTTTATCAACTCTACATGTAAACAAATCTGTCAGTATCGCTTGTCATCACCTGAGGTATGTTGCCACAGTCTTTATACATTCTCGGCTTTTTACTTTGTTTCGTTGCAAATCTTTAAAGTGTGCTTAGATGACTTAGGGCCCTATTCAAATGATCTATAATAGATGGTCTAAAGTGTATGATGCAAGTGAGTTTGTGCGTCCACTGTTGCTAGTTTAATGGCACATAATTTAGGTGCAAAGTATGGCACAAGGTATGTTGTTGTTGTATTTAGTCCCTTAATTAATCATAGGGGTGTTTTAAACTTAACATGAATTCAGCCAATCAGTGGCAAATGGCCCTGTCTAGAGCCATTGTTTGGTTTGTCCATTCTGGGCTACTGTAGAAACAACATGGCGGACCCCATGGAAGAGGACCCACTCCATATGTAGATATAAACAGCTCATTCTATGGTAACAAAAACACAATTCTTCATGATTATACACTGATGAAAACATAATTATGGGTATTATATTCCATTCCTTCCAATCTGTCCGCCTAGATCCTACGCATTGGACCTTTGAGCCCTTACGCCCATGGCACACAGATGGGCGCAAGTACATTTGCTACTTAAACTCGTGGGCGCTGGCTGTGAAAGTGACGACTGTGTCAGTCTGAAACTAGCAGTGACAGTTGTGCTGCACTGTGCACCACTTTGCATCTGGTGTAAAGACAGGGCCCTTCAAGTTAAAGCATGGCAGCTAGTGATCATAGTATAGCTTGTTCCATCTGTGGTTCTACATGTCTACATGTTGAAGTCGACAAACGTAACGTCAAATTGAACAAAAGCTTTAAATGCAAACCCCATAGAAGGTATACAATGATGCCAAGTACATACACTGCCGTCACTATAGAAATATCTGTATCAATAGAAACCATATTTCTTCACATAAATGCTCTGTACATTAATTAGTACATTATAATATATACGTTTCATTTTAACTATGTGATCTATTTAATTGCCAGCTTTGTAATGGATAAGGATTCTGAGCATTTCTAGATTAAAAATAAGTGTTGTTTGAAGGTTTACTCCTGTTGATAATTATAAAAAAAATACTTTCTCAGTTGACAGTGTGAGTGGTAAAAAATCTTACAGGAAAACCTGCAAAGAAACCTTCCATAATAAATTAAAAAATGACAAATTACTTAATGTGATGTGACAAATTAGGACAAGTGCTACTGACACAGCATTCACTGCACATCATTGTTACAGTATGTTAAGTATGAAATGTCCATATAAATTATAGCACATCAAATGTCAGCAACCAGTTGAAATGGTCCCCGACATCATTATGTCATTTCAGTGATTAACAGCAGCAGTTTGTGACCAGACAGACTTTACACATTTGCAGTAAATGTTGAGTCAGTGTGAGCTGACTGAGCCCCCTAAGTCCCTGCACCTACCAGTCTCAACCCTGACCTGGCCGGTATGTGACATGACACACAGGAGGAGGTACGCAGAGACGCCCTGGGTTAAGCTGGATTCCCTTTCCATCTGAGACAGGGGTGTCCCATATCAGGGCAGCACTGGATCCCATACACAGTGCTGTGACACTGTGAGATATAAGGGGACACACAGAGACCCATATTGGGAGTCCCATACTTGGAGCACTTTCATTTCTTCATCAGGGAGAAAATGATGTCAGTATGGATCCTTCTGCAGGGAATTATGCCGTACTGAAGCATGATTTACTATCATGAATGGCATTTAAACTAACTTACCTTTCTCCTGATTGTAGTTCCTGGTTCTGATGTACCTTGTGACGTACCTGGGAGAGCTGTGCAATGGCCTTACTCTGCTCATCATCAGTAAGACACAGATATCACCATTTGAAATATAGAATCTATTAACAGGCTGTATGGCTGCTGTGTTAACTACTCTGCTTTTGTCTTCTTCCCTCTCCAGGTGTGATCGCTCTCTTTTCTCTGCCACTTTTCTACAGACAACGCCAGGTAATAACACTTAATTAATTCTTTATACTGTCTGTCACTTTATTTCATATCTAAACATGCATTTCTCTGTGTTTCTGTTATTTAACAGGAGCAGGTGGATGCGTTCACTGCAAAAATCCAGGCCAACATTGACAACGTCAAGGACACGTGAGTATGGCGTCACCTTCTGGCAAAATGTTGCCATCAACACTGGTATCTTGCTACTGAAGCAGTTACTGCTTGACTGCTTGACTGATCTTAAATGTTTATTATGCAGGATTGTCAGTTATGGTTTATAAAAACTCTTGCCAGTGAAAGTGAAAGGAAAAAGGCAACCCCGGATTCACTCTCATTCTGTGTTTTACCTGACTATATTTGTATTTTTTCATCTCTGTGTCTCTTGGATGCCTGCTGCTTACAGTCTGGCACCTGGTCGCTACCTTTTTATAAAGCCCCAACCTCACCTGAGTGCTGTGGAGGAACATGTCCATAAACATCCTGAACACAGACAATAAAAAAATACAGGCAGAGGGCAGAGTCTCTGCAGAAAAATACACCGCCACCCACTTTTGATGGTTCATAAGTGATGATTGAGAGGACTTACTGTATGAGTCTAATCTATACATTGTTTTCTAAGAAAATGCTGCATAATATATCTTTAAGGTTCTGTCCAGGATTAAGATACATGTGGGTTAAGTGTACTGTTAATGAAATTGATGTACACACAAGCCCTGTTTCCACCAAACACTTTCAGTTTAGTACCTTTGGAACCAAAAGTAACCCTTCAGACATGGTACCTAGACCCCAGCATTTCCACTGCAAACAGTACCCTTAAATGTGGGTGGGGTTGTTGTCACTCACTGCTCCATCCTGCACTCACTGTATTTCCTCATTACTGGTGACACAGAGGGAAGTCTGCACCGCTGACATTTTCGGAACAAAATAGAACAGGCTGCAGTGAGAGTCTCTCTCTATGGGATATTTAAAAATAGCGGGTTTGTGCATTTAGTCCTTCTCAGGCAAGCTCAGGGGGTTAGTGTTGCCGGAGCCCACAGGAATAACGCTTCTTTTTCTCCAAATGAGGATTAGAATATATGCTGTCCCGGTTGACATAAACGCTTGAAGATCCACCCATTACTAAAGGTGTATGCCATATAAAAACTAAAGTGATGGTCAGAGTTGTCACAGTGAAATTAAAGGTGTGTTGATTGATTCACGTCATCAGCTCATGCACTGAGTAACATCACAAGTAAACATTCCATCTCAAAGGTTACAGGCAGTCGGCCCAGTGAATTCTTTTTTTCTCCGACTCCCAACTGCTGTGAGAGGCAGCAAAACATCCTTACCGTCTACAAATAAAACTCTTCACAGTATGAACAGTGGTTACATGAGCTTCAAAACCAGCCACAACTCAGCCCTGAGCAGAGTGACCGTCCGCTACTGACCAATCAACAGACTGCAGTGTTCACAGCTCCACCTTTTAGTACCAGATCTGTGTGCTAGGTACCCCAACAGAGGGGGGACCAAAAATGGGGACGTATGGAATGGTTCCATTGGTACCATCCACAACTTTTAAAAGTGGAAATGGAAAAAAAGTGTACCAAACTGAACTGTACTGTACTGCACGGTGGAAACAGGGCTATAAGTACTTGGAGTCACAATGTAGGTACTACAGACCCTAAATTTGTTCACCTGTGTAAGTCTTACCTTCTGTTGTATTTCTCTTCCACAGCTTTCAAAGACTTGCCCATGGTGGTGGCCCTCCTCCTGACCCAACTCCTGGTGGCGCCAAACCCAAAACCCAGTAAACACTGATGGACAAGGACTTAAAGAAAAGCTCCCAGAGTTGCAGGCTGTCACTCAGATGTCTTACCCAGCAGTCTGTGCTCACGGCTCCAGAGAACGGAGCTCCAGAGACTGGGGAAGGGAAGGGAGGTTACTTAAACGGACAATGACGAGGATCACGCATGGTACTTTATACTCTTACTGTATCTAAGTTATGGGGGTTGGAGGTTGGGGATGGGGTTAAAACTTAAGGTGAAATCAAGGTGTATGAATCCTGGATGAGACTCTTGCTGCTGATGTCAGAGGCGGAAAGATTCAGTGACACAGCTTGTCGTATGTGACCATCCTTGGAAGTACTCACTGTTTTTAATATGTACCAATGACTCAAGAAGTGTCTTAGATTGTTGAGAGATGTAGTCCAAATGAGGTACTAAGACCAGGAGTGGGAAGTGCCCACACGACAGCTACTCGCCTGAGAAGAGGGAGGTCAGTTGTTGAGGTAAAAACAGGGGTCATCATTACTCATGGCAGCATCAAACTGGCAATTAAAGATGCATGTGTCAGCACATGTACTTTTTCTGATTGCGTAATCATCGTCATGACTGTATCTGTGTGTGTGTGTGCAAGGATGAGCGTGTGTGTGCGTGTGTGTATGTGTATGTGTGTGCATGTGTAATTCCTGACATACAGCTTGCTGAAATGAAAATGTTACCTACAAACAATTAAAGTCACGTTTCTTCTTCATTTTCCAAAACTTTGTTTCTTCTCACAAATATTCACATTCATTCACACTATTATTTTATTTATTTATTTTCCTGGTCATGTTTTCTCATGCTCACTGCACTGGGAAGTTGTGAAGTTGTAACATATATTCAGAGGGATAAAGATGGATTCTTCTGCTAAGTTCAACAATTAGGTTGTATCATAAACAGAGTGAAATTACTCGACAGGAAGTCCCCCACTGACAGTGCGTCAGAAGTACTTAAGGTATCAGTGTTAATGTTAGGATTGGTTGAACTGATGATACAAGATTTCAGATGGATATCCTCCCTGAGGAATGTGATTATTTTCAGCCTTGTGAAGAAACGTGGGAGTGAAATACAGCAGGTGCCTTTCTAACTGCAGGTTACAGTGCATGATCTGATCCACAGTATTTACACCCGCTGACAGCAGCTTCCAGCAACCTCTCCTCCCATTACCAACCACTTCTCATCACCTCACCATTGCCTTCCTGAGAATGGTGTTCTGTACGTGTACAATACTTGTGTGACGTGCACCATGACAAGGTATCTTATACAGAATTGTAAGCAGATCCATTTTAGGAATAATAAAATTATTCAGGATAAGCTGCAGCTCCACGTTTCCCTTTAGCAGTTGCTTTCAAGACTCACCAAAATGTGTCTGTTACTCTGCCTTATTATTGCATCATTTACCTGTGTGCTGCAGTGAAAGCGCTGTTATGTTGATACATGATCCATTAAACCCAAACGTGATGGCCTGCCAGCCTCGGGCATCATGTGCTGCTTAGTGTTGGACCTGCAGTAGTTGCGTACACACACACACACACACGGGCCTTCTGTAGCAGTTCTTTGTACTAATACAAATAAAGTTGGAGATAGCAGTGAAACAACTTCCCTTATCGTGGCATATACAAAAAAATTCTGAGGTCTGTCTTGTCAAACTATATTAAAACAAAACTGATGTTACTATCGTCAAACTCACTAATAATTTGTAGATGAGTAGAACTGTCTCACTGAGTCTAGACCACCAGTTGTTTAGGTTTTTCTATTTACAGTGTGAATGAATGATGGATAAATACAAACAGGTCAGTGATTTCAGTTCATTTAAAAAGAAGTCAGAGTCAGCCATTACATGCATTATAGTAGTACACTGATTATTTTGTATTCTTGAAAATAACTACATTTCAACATTGGAAAAATAAACACTCTGGAAAAATAAACACAAGTGTATACTGTGACTTTTTTAGATAGCTTTGTATTATGTCAGAGACTGGACACAACACAAACGAAGACCTTGTGTTAGCTAAACAGTGGATATTATCGTATTAATGTAGAATTCCCAGCATTAAAGGTAAAGGGACTTTGACATCAGCAGGTCTTAAAAAAAAGTGAGACCAGAAAATGTACATTACGTAGTTACTAATTTCTAAATTATGCAGGTTATGGATGTTTCTGGAACTTGGTGCCCTGTATGTTTCTGATTAATTCATGTTTATCATACCTGCATGGGCATAGATGATGTACAGTTAAAGGGACAGTTCACCCCAAATAAAAAAACAAATGTATTTTTCCTCTTACCTATAGTGCTATTTGCCAATTTAGATCAGCGGTTCCCAACCGCTGGGTCGCAGTCCAAAAGTGGGTCACGAATCCAATGTGAACAGACTGTAGGTGACTCACAAAGTGTCAAGGTTGTATTTTCGACACAGAGCTTTTATTTTGAAGTGCAGTGCCCTGATGTAGAGTGAGCAACTAATGGACAACTACTTGACAGAAACAGCAAATTAGCTTGACAATATGGCCAAATGCAAATATGATGCTGAATGTATTAAACTGTGTGAACCATGAACTAATGTGCGAGGAGAAATCCAGACCCTGTGGCACCACAACTTGAGTACCATCAAGTTCCTTTATATTCAAGAGAAGGCAGACATCTCAACAGCTGATATCTCCAACACTCTGCAACTCACACCAAAACAATCTACGCTGATTAACAGCACTACAGGTAAGAGGAAAAATATGTAGTTTTGATTTTAGGGTGAACTGTCCCTTTAAGATGTTGCTGCATATGCATTTACCTGTGAAATATGTGAAACTGTCTTGAGAACACCTTGATGTGTTCCACTCACCGCGTGTATATTCAGACATGTCAGTTTCTGTTTGCTGCTGCACCCAACCACAAGGAGGCGACACAAGCCAAGACATCACTTTCACTACATTTAACAAGGTTTCCAGTGTGTCTGACAGTTTGGGAGTGGGAAGCAAGATCACCTCATATCACCACTGGACAGTTTAAAAAACTACCCAATCAGAGGAAGAGTTTACGTTTAATTTGTCAGTTTCTTTTTCAGATATCCCCTGGGTGAACTATATTTTGGCTTTGAGTTGTGCATTCTGCAGTTACCACAGTGTGAGTCCACTGGTTGCTCCCTGTAGTTTCAACTGGCTACAAATGAATAAAGTAGGTCAGGTGGTGACTCTGAGTAGGTTTGAAATTTCAGACCTTTATGTGTCATGTTCAAAATGGACATCAAGGTTGGCCTCTGCCTTCTGGTGGGGACAAGTCTGAACATGCCTGCACAGGTTCAACCTCAGTGAGTTCATGGCAACTTCATAGTTAGTTGGACCTTGAAAATGACAGAGTTGGTTGTGCTGTGAAATATAGAGTAGCTGATTAAAGTAAGAAAAATAAAACAGAGTAAATTTGGAGTGTTTTTTTTAATTCAATCCTTTTTTCCGGTAGATTCATTTTTAAAAGAATACGAAAACTGTATTCAGACTCCTCAACCTCAACCTGTCTGTTCAGCCTTCTCTGCCGCTGGGAGGAGAAGTGGGTGGGATTAGTCAAATCAATCTGAAGATATAATGCCTTAGACCCGCCCTCGGATTGTAAAACTGCAGGCTGTAGTCCTGATGCTGACCTGACACAGTGGATTTGGCAGCGCTCAAGACAGGAGGCGAGGTTTTACGCACGAGTCCCGCTCGCGATTACAAGCAACTGACAAACCCGTAGTAGAGAAGGATTCCTGTTCTCATGGTGGGTGCCTCATCTGCCCGACGAGGAGAGCAAGGTGAAGTGCTGGCCAATTGAATGTTACCTTCAGTCACCATGGATTACGGACGGACCATGGCCCCTCCGGTGCCCCCGCACAATCCCAAACAAATCCGGCCAGGACAGGCGCAGGAGCGGCTGCTGAAGTGCGTACTGCTCGGCGACGGAGCGGTGGGCAAAACCAGTCTGGTGGTCAGCTACACAACGAATGGCTACCCAACCAAATACGTCCCCACTGCATTTGATGATTTCTCAGGTAAAATCAAAATACTGCTGTTTATTATTTTGGAATATTTAATGCATTAAGGGTCCAAAAGACAGAAATGATATAGATGGGATACCTCCCCTCATTTTCCTAGATTAGAGGGTGGCACAGACACTGCTTGTTTAGCACAGATAATATATGAATGTATAACCTAAGTCCAATGAAAATTAGTGTGTTGAGATTTGAGCCTGAAGTCCAGTTGAGATCTCTAATAACATTTATTCCACCTGCCTGCCTGTCCCACTCAGTTTCACTGAACTCTTCTTCAACTTTGCATGTTCTTGTTTGACAGCATCCACCCTCCCTCCCCTTCTGTTTATTCCATTGTTATGATAGATGTGTTTCCAATAATCTGCCTTCCATATCAGTATTAATGCACACGAGTTATCCTCCCTGATGTAGCCAGGTTTCCATTTGGCACGGTTCCACTTTCCATACTGTCTCACTTGTCCCAGCAAGCTTTGTTTACTGCAAAATAGAGGGGAGAACACAATCCTTCAAAGGTGAAACCTGTTTTAAAGTGATCAGTGTCAGCATGAAAAAATACACCTGTGACCTGTTGATCACCTTCATGATCACGTCTTAAGATAGTTGCAGAAACTGTGTAAACCTTACTCTGTTAGATGTATTATTATATTGTCCATGATGGACACAAGAGTATAAACTTGTGTTATTGATTAAAAAAAAATCACACAAACAAATGTTTATGCCTTTTTAGAACTAAGGAATGAATGCACGACATTGTATGCTGTAAATTTATTTGTAAACTTAAACATTTTTGTCATTAATCTTAGTCCATTTTCTGGCATTACACCGACGACCAATAAAACTAACAACTTGGCCAGCACACATCCTATAAAACACTCTATGAGAACACACACCGCCCTCAGACATACGCTGGCTCAACCCTCCCGTACAGAGCACAGAGCGTCTCTGGTTCAGGGGTTTTGTATTGCACAACTCTGCCTATTGTTGTCAGCCTTGACCCGCGAGCCCTCTCCTCTATACTGGAATGGGCACATCTGTTGCAGTGGCTCAGAGGCAGAGATTGTCTTTCGCCTCGGCCTGACAGAGAGTGATTGTGCACTTGGAGCCCCTAATAGTGATGTCATTTCTCGGTGCCCTGGAATCAGAGCGTCCCCTTGAAAGCTGACTTCTGAGCAGTTACGCAATGCCACAGGTGGCAGAGACACAGAGGATCAGGAGCCTGGGAGAGGGGACGATAAGAGGGAGTTTTGGTCCAGAAAAATCAAAGGAGTATCATATGTCAGGGATTAAGAAATGATTACACAATGGCAGCTCCCCTCTCACTTTCCTGTCTTTATCTCCTCCCGCTCTTTCTCCTTGCTTTTGTAATGCTATGATGCCTGTCCTACATGAGTAGTTCCAGCAAACTCTTTGATCAGGTGGTATGACCGACCACACACTCCAGGCGTATTGTAAATGTTTCCATGTGCCTGCTGCTCTGCATTGTGCTCGCTCTCCTGAAAAGAATAAACGGCCCTATAATGAAACTGTAAGATGACTCATCCACTTTTCCAATCTGGAAATGAGGCTTATTGAAAGAGAGTCACTGAACAAACCCCCTATTAGAGAGCCTTGGAATGGCCTCTGTCAAAACATAGCAGAGAACAAAGCTCAAAGAGTGGTCCGAGCAACAGTAAAGTGTTATGGTACGACAGTAACTGGCAGAGTGGGTGGGCGAGACAGAGCAGGCCGTCTGTGAGCGGGAAGAGCAGAGCAGGGGGTCTTTGTGTTTTCAACTGGCAGGCTTTTGTTTATTTCAGAGAAAATTCTGGTGGTTAGTTACGTCTTTGTGCGTGTGTGTGTGTGTGTGTGTGTGTTAACTTCTGAAGTGTCAGGTGGGGGCTTTATATCCCACACAGTCTTAAAGCCATGTTGACAGCTGTGACTTATTATCTCTGTCTGTCTGTTTCTGTGTCCACAGCTGTGGTTCAGGTGGATGGAAACCCAGTGAGACTACAATTGTGTGACACTGCAGGACAGGTGAGTTTTCTTCACACACTAACACATGTTGCACCACACCTTTGGCACACTGTCCAGATCATGCATTCATGCTACATACCTCTCAATTTTTGGTATACATAAATGTCACATTTAAGCCATGCTAGTGGCATCACTCTGTGGGTGGTAATGTCAGTGGGTCGGTCAGTCCAGACTGAAAGATCTCAGTTATAGTATGAGTTACAATGACATTTTGTACAGACATTCCTGGCCCCCAGAGGATGACACCATGCAGTTGACTTTCGTGATCCCGTAACGTTTTATTTAACGCCATCATTAGACCAGAATTTTAATCTGTCCATTACTTTGGACAAATCAGCCAAAGTCCATCAGCCTCAGCTGTACTTTAGTGCTAATGAGCAAATGCTTGCATGTTAACACACTGAAATCTGATTGTGAAACTGGTGAATATTATACCTGTTTAACATCATCATATAAGCCTAGTCATTGTGAGAATATTAGCATGCTGACATGCCTGAGTACAGCGTCACAAGGCTGCTAGCATGGCTGGTTGTTGTTATATTACTATTTATGAAATTTTTAAACAAATAAATAAGCACAAATGTAAAACATCCACCCCTTCCAGCTTCTCACATGTGAAGATTTGTTGCCTTTCTTGTTTTTACATCATTATAAATCAAACACCTTTTAAATGTGGGAGCTTTGATCTGATGAAATTAAGCAATAAGCTCAGAGAGGCTGATTTCAGAACAGCTAAGGTGTGTTGTTAGGCATGACGCAGAACGAGGGCACAGTGGGTTCCCTGGCTGCTCACACGTAAATCCCTGTAGGCTCTCTGTGTTCCTTTTGCTGCATATTTGTGGTTTCTTACGCATTCATCGGATGACAGCGCTGCGCATTTCTGACCGTTCTTGTCCTGGTGGATGATGATTGATTCGGGGTTCAGCTGGCGGATATCGTCTGTAGCGCTGCGCCCCGTATGACAACAGGTGACTAATTGGCACAGTAATACTGAAATTGTAATGCTGTCACTTTGAGTTCTCGGACGTTTTGAGGGTCATTTCCATGATTTCTTAGACATTTGATAGATTACACAAATAAAGACCAATTGAAAAATAAATCCAATACTTTTAGGCGTACTGTTTTTGTGGTCTGTCCATGTTGCTTTTACTTCACATTGGCCTCTTGCGTGTTATTTCAGATAGCTCATCTGTATAGAAATGGCAGAATTCCTGGGCTCTGCTGTCAGTCTTCATCTGGAATGAAATAACATTGCTCCATAGAGTAGGTATAGCTTTATGGTGCAGTGACAGGGTGCTGAGGGAGAAGAGAGAAGCCTGCAGGTTAAATTGGAGGTGATGATGCAAAAAAAAAAAACCAACAGAAAACTATCTCCTGTCTGTCTCCCTGTTGTTAAGGACACGGTGGTGCAGGGTGCTTGCCAGGCAAAAGTTATTGACTCCTTATTATGTTGATACTTAAGAGCAATCTTGGAAGGAACAGGTTGTGAAAGAGTGTTTTTATTTCCCTGGAGCATGGGTGGTTGTTTCATAATCAAACTCAAAAGAACCCTGCCCTGGAGCAGCATATTTGACATTCATAAATGCTGCGAGGGCACTGCCAGTGCTGAACACAATCAAAGACGACTTGGCTGTAAAGTGGAACGAGGCATTTGTACAAGCTCCTAATACATGTAAAACCTCACAGCATGTTGCAAGCTGCACACACGCACATATGCACACAGACACACACACACGCAGACAAGCTTGGGCAAATATGGGCAGATAAAAGACAGCAAACACTTACTGCACTTATGCAATTTCATAAGGGGGGCGTGCAAGCGCCAGAAACAGGTTGGGGTGTGCCAAAAAAAAAGAGACAAGAGAGAGGTAGAAAGTGAGTGAGAGCCCAGACAGAGAGAGAGAAACGGTCTGGAGAAAAATGATAACAGCTGCCACCAAAGCTGATAAACAAAGTTGCTCCTTACGCTGAGATGTTGATGTCTGTGTGTTCTGCAGATGGACCTACGTCATCAGATCGCAAAGTACAGCCAAAGACTTGCATGGGAAACTCACATGTTGATAAGTGTCCACTGCAGTTGTTGAGCGTCAGATGTTAACTGTTTAAATTAGGGATTGTTTGTGCAGATTGGGTCGTGTTTTTAAAGCAGGAGGAGCCAGCACAGAGCATTGTGTAGGCGAAGAGGGATTAGGAGATGCATAGTGGAGAGCAGAGGGTTAAAAGAAAGAAGGAGAGGTGTGTAAAGTTCCTGGCAACATTAATCAGTGTATTCAAGGGTGTGGGAGGTCCTTAAAAGTCAAAGCTGTGTGTCTCCAAAGTGTTAATTTACTGTAGCTGATATAAATGAGTGAGCAGGGCTTGTGTAGACCTATACTGTTTATTAGCACAATATAAACACTGTTTAGACTGTTTTCTTATTGAGAGATTGTTGGCACACTTCCCATTATTCCCTTCCACTATGTTGTATTACCAGTGAAGCATTAACTAAAAGTGCATTAACGTGTGGTCAGTCTGGGTGAGAAGTTAAATAATAATAATATCGTTATTTGTATAGCACCTTTTATACATAAAATGCAGCTTTACAGTATGGAGTTAAACAAAAAAAAAAAAAATCAAAAAACTGAAATAGATAAGTTCATAAAAATAGTATTCGAAAAAGATAAACACACACCACATTAACAAAAGCCTGCCTGAACAGTTGGGTCTTCAATTGATTTTTAAAGACGTAGATAGAGCTTGCAGAGGGCCTTCCAAAGTCTTGGGCCACAGTAGCTAAAAGCAGTTTCTCCACTTGTTTTGTTGACTACTTCAAGGGCAGTTAAAATACCAGCATCAGAGGACCTAAAACTGCTTTCACATTGCAACACAGTAACCGCCCTGACAACCGCCATGACAGGCAGGTGCTTCAGTAAACACTGGCAAAAGTGTAAACTAGCTTGTAGCTGCATACTTCAGCAAGACAATGGAAATAACTGAAGTTACCAAATATTTCTATGTATTTGGACAATTTAACAGGCAGCTGTAGTTTGGTAGAAATGTTATCCCAGGTCCAGTTTTTCTTCTGGTTGTCAGTGTTGCTAGCACCGTAACTCTTGGTATTCAGACACCAACATTATCAGCTCCTCCATCTTGTCCTCTTTCTGCCTCCGCAGTGCACACTATTTGATCAGCCAAAGCCAGGTAGCAACTGCTAGAAGTTCAACACCATGAACTCTGTGTGGCAAAGCGAAATCTGAGCGCATTCACATTGGCAGCAATCACTTCATACCTCTACCTCCGTGTTTGAAACTGCTTCAACTCTCCACCTTCCCTTCATTAGAATAAGAAGACTATGAGTGACCATATGGCGATGTGAAAGCCCCGTAAGGGCTCTTGTAGGTTGATGAGGACTTTAAAGTCAGAATAGTAATAAGGTGCTATACCATTGAGAGCTTTGTATGTGAGTAAAAGGACCCTTTAGAGTCCGAAATGACACCAAGACACTTTTCTGGTGAGCCAGGTTCTTGCATTTATGCCCAAGGAGCAATAACTCTGTTTTATTGTTGTTAAGTTTTAACAGATTGTCACTCATCTATTGTTTTATTGAGGCCAAGCTAGCAGTCAGAGACAATAGACCATTTGGGTGTGTTGGCTAAACAGAAATGTATAATTGTGTGTCATCTGCGTAGCTGAAAATTTGTATTTAATTTGTTGATTATACAACCTAATGGAAACATAGAAGGTGGTTCAGTGTGACAACCAACCCAAAACGTTGATATCTGATGATCTGGCAAAGAGACTTAACAATTAACTATCTCTCTTCAGTGTTACACACAGCACCTTCAAGGGAAATGATTCATCATAAATTAAAGATTTTGGGACAAATTGAAATTGCAATTTCTGTTTCTGTCTCCACTAGGATGAGTTTGACAAACTCCGCCACTTCTGCTACAGCCGGACAGACGCCTTGCTGCTGTGCTTCAGCGTGGTCAGCCCAGCCTCCTTTCAAAATGTCTGGGAAAAGTGGGTCCCCGAGATCCGCCGGCGCTGCCCCCTCACACCCATCCTCCTTGTGGGCACACAGTGCGACCTGCGGCAGGATGTCAAAGTGCTGATCGAGCTGGCGAGGCGGAGGGAGAGGCCAGTGTTGGAGGAAGATGCCAGGGCGCTGGCGGAAAAAATTGGGGCAGTGACGTACATTGAGTGCTCGGCGCTGACGCAAAAGAATCTGAAGGAGGTGTTTGATGCGGCCATCGCTGTTGGGCTGAGGCAGTCTGACAGGAGGGTGAGGCGGGAGAGGAAGGTCCGCAGCACAGCCGATAAGATGAAGATGCTCTCAAAGTCGTGGTGGAAGAAGTACGTGTGTGTCCAGTAGGGAGGGAGGAGACTATTTTCCTGTGACTGATGATAAAACTGGAACTGCTGACTTGTTGGAGGGGACTGAGTTTGATGTAAGGTTTATTTCTATGTTCACCTGGACGACCCCATGTGTGGTGGCCAGAATGACATTAATTCAGTGGAGCAATAACTCAACAGTGGCAGCAAGTGCCTGCCTGCGCTGTAGAGTCATTGCAGAAAACATCTCAGAGAGGATGAAGCTGTGACCACTGTCTGCTCCTCAGAGCCAGTCTGAACTGTTAAATATGACTGTGACCAGCATATGACCAAAAATAATAGAGCTAATAAAGCTTTATGGCACGTGGACTGCGTATCATACTGGACACGTCCAAAGGAAATGTGAGCCAATTTGGAGGGGATGTGTTCAGACAGTGATGTAATGTACTAAAAGTGTACTCCTCCTATGTGTCTGATTTGATGGCCTTCTATAACAAAGTATATTATTTTATGTGCTCTACACTGTAATTCAGCCCCCAACACTTCTGATAGATTTATTTCACTGAAATCAGAACGCAGCGTTAATATAAACTAGCTTAAATCTCCAATCAAAGATGCAATAATTCTACTGTTAACAGCCAAAGCCAATCTTGCACCTTGTTTCCTAAATCAGAAGCAACTCCACTGAGTCAGATGTGTAACTGATCACGTTTATTTTAACTCATTCCCTTTTGGATTACAATCAAATGTAAATGAGTATAATTTTTTATTAAATCTATGAGTTCTTGGAGAATATTATAGTCCAACCATTCAGTTCTGTATTACTGCGAGCTTGTGCAGGGATTTCTCTAAACCAGCTTGTGTGTGTGCCACATTTTGAAGTGTTGATACAGCTGTCACACTGTTAATCGACCACACAGTTAGAGGTCTGTAAGCTCCTCACCAGCACACACCTGCTTCAGTAGATTGATGCCACTAAACATTAACAGAGTAAACTGAACGACCGTTGATGTCATAGTTTTCCGAAATTACAAGGTTGCAGCAATACATTGGGTGGTGCCACTGTACATTGCACTTATCACACACAGTCCAAACACATCACTGAAGTCTTGCCATGCAATGGCCTTTGGAGCAGTGGTGTGAATTAGATACGGAGCAGGTAAATGGCATCCGTGGTGCTTGAGATGTACTCAGTGTCTCTGAAACAGACGCAGCTGATCTGCATGTTCCCTGCACTACCCACTGGTTTGGATGATCTTTCTATGTTATTGCAGTCAGGGCCTTAAACAGATAATTATTGGTCTTTGGAGATCAGTATATTGGAGCTCTCTCCTCTTCTGAAATTATACAGTGAATGAGGTGAAATCACCAAAGAGACTGCTTCTATGTTTGCTTCTCATTTTTCAGAAGCCTGTCATTCAGCTCTGTCTATTTATCTGTTCCGTCTGGGCCAATAACTGATCAACAGCACTACAGAGCAGATGTATGAGATGTCATTATATGTCATTATGTATGTTACATAGTACTCATTTATGATGTTTGTAATGTCATCAGGATAAATCTGTGTATACATACAGTAAGGTGACTCAGTCATTGTCTGTGCTGTCCAACTCTAAATGGTACTTAACAGTATGAGTGTTTCAGTTGGTGTCTGATTTTTGACATAAGAGCAGTTTGTTGAGCTGTATGAGTGGAACAAAATAAAATGTGAAATATTTAACCTGCTTTCACTGTCGACTCTTCCATGGAGATATGTTATCTCTACTGTTGCACTGAAGAGAAAATTGTGATGATAAGAGTGGAGCACGGTTTGTTACACGCTTGCTTTCTGGGGTCGAAGGTTAGTATGTAACTATAAGTGTAGACACACCTCATTTGTTTTGCATGTGCTCCAGTAAGAAATTTGCCATCAGGAAATTGCCAAAAAGAAAAAGGGATCTGATTTAAATGCAGATATTTCCAACTAAAATGTAGGTTAATTTGTAATCACTAAATTTACAACATTTTACAAGTTTGAATGGTCCCGTGTAGGATTTAGAGTCATCTACTGGCAGTAAAGGTAAATAATATTCATAACTATGTTTTCATTAGCTTAACAGATAATAGTAATCGTTGTATTTTGTAACCTGAGTACGAGCTGTTTATAGGTACATATGGAACGAGTCATATTCCACGTAGTCTGCCATACTGTTCTACAAGTGATTCCCACACATTCATTTATGTGTGGTGGCCTGCCATGATAAAATCTGCTGCCATGTTTTTATTTTTTATTTTTAATTTTTTTGCGGGCTGGACTGTTCATTAGGGGGCTAATGGAATATATATATATATATATACCATTCGGTTATTTGTTGCACCACCCTCTCAGAGCACAGAGCATACTCTGGACACAGACAGAGCAGCAGAACACAAGGCGCAGTGAAAGTGAAACTTTGTTGCACTGGGTCTAAAAGTTTGCATTCACTCCCTCTGCAGCAGCTGCTCCTCTCATCCACTGATCCGATCAGCCCTGATTGGACAGAGTGATCAGTTATCCACCCCATGACTCAAAATTCTGCTGAGGAAAAAAAAGAAACTCATAAAGAGTTTCAAAATCACATCACGGCAGACCTATCAGCAATTATCTTATAATTGTCCAAGAATTAATATAATATTGTATTGTAAAGAAATTTGTGATGTACACATTGACACCCCAACCAATCAAACACTAGCTCTAGATAGGGCCATTTACACTTTCACTTCAGCCACTGTAGTTCTTACACACACTTGGCACACGAGAAATTTTGAGCTCTGCATCCTCATTGCTAAATGCCACTAATCCTACACACTGGACCTTTAAGTGGAAAAACACTGTGAATGAAATTGTGCTATTATTAGCCTGAGGTTGACATCGAAAATCATTCACTATTAAATGTAGATTAGTTTATTTGATATTATGAGAAGGGAGAACATAGATCTCACACAACTACAATAATGTCAAGGATGGCCAGCACGCTTTTCTACTGTGGTCCTTGATCAATTATTCACTATGTAGTCCTCATATAGCATTAGGGCTGCGCTGAATAGTTTAATGCTTTGAAGCTTTAATGTTGGCATTCAAATTCTAAATCAACATTTAATCTGGTCTGGTGATTCTGTTTATACCAGGTTTTTCTGCACATTTACAGACAGGGCAAGGCTTACCAGTGAGGGCTCCCGACCCGGATATAGCCTAGTGCTAATAACACCATAAATTAAATTTATTCATCAAAGAAAGTTGATTTAATGAAAAAAGACTTTTCACATTTTTAATCCTGTGAATCATATTCAAATTGAGGATTTTTTTCATTTGTTTTTTTGGTACAGCCCCATATAACATATTTGCTATTTTTACGGTTTGAATGTCTGTTACTGATTATTATACCCTATATAGTTGACTTGTATTATCTCATAATGCAACAGAAAAAGTGGAGTACAATTGAGGGCCTTTAACCATGAGCTAACTACCAACAAAAGTGCTGGACGAGTGACGGCCTGAGTCATTTTTTAATTTTGCCATGTGATTCACTACATAGTCCCTTACATGCATAATTTCCTTTATAGTGAGTAGTAACCATGTCAGCCGCAGCCAGTCTCTAAAATTAACTTAAAACTACTAAGTTCCAAAGTTGGGAAAGAGTTAAATGTGACTTCAAAGATTTAACCTCAGAGGTTTTGTCGGCACCAAGACTTCTAACTATGCAGGATCAGATGATTATAATTGCCTGAAATAGGCCTTTTCTCCTATTCATAGCTATGTGTCTGCACCACAGTATACAACAATGGGCAGAGAAAGACAGCGAGGTAGGTATCTTGTACTTGTTTAGAAGCGCTAATGATAGGGTAGGCAGCTAAAAGAGAGTTTGTGTCGTCTGGCAGACTGCAGATGAGTATGTTGTCCAGCCTCACAGTGGGTGAATCTGAGGTAGAAGTGGTGCCAAGTGTTCTAATTATGATAGTCAGGATGGCTCCACTTTCCACCAATATTTTAGCAGGAAACCCAATTGTTGTGTTCTAGCGAGGCTGCCGTCTTGCGAAACGTCCTGTGATTTAGCACCGGCGCTTATGTGTTTGACGGTAATATCTACCTGTCTGCTGGAAGTACAAGTTATTGTCTGTGGTGGGAATATTGAGCTGTCAATCATGAAACTAACAGACAGGAAACACATCAGAGGTGAGGTTTACACGTCTCTTAAATTTCACTGTAAAATTGTTAGATTGTGTATCCATGTGTGGGTGTCTCTCAGACTGCTCCTCTTAATCCAAATTCCAAACAGTCCCTGAGGTAGAAAAGTGAATAAATACTCTTCTTCATAAAACAAGACAGCTCAGTTAAGCAAACATACGTGGGGGTATTTAACCATATGTAAGCGTAAAACACATCAAGGAGCCAACATCACCAAACCCTCAAAGACTATAGAACTGACAAAATATTATCATACAGTGGTAATCTGACTATTTGCACTGGAGCCATTTCATGGTCACGGGCGCACAAAGGCAACACTTTGTGGCTCAATTTGATGGTATTCACTGTGGGTTTAGTCCAACAGAGCTGCTCGGTTTCTCTCAGGGTGCAGCTGGAGTATCTGTCGTCGGTTTAAAGATAACTATATCTGCTTTTAGGAACAAGGCTGTATGCAGGATTGTAGAAATACTGAGGTAATAAGGGCAAATTCCTCAAGCACAACCTCACCCACCGAAGAAAGTTTTTGACTATCCTGTTGCTACCAACCAAACTCTGTCTAATCAATATTATCTAAATGATATCATGGTGGGGAATGTGATTGTTCAAATCCTGAGGGAATATTACAACATTTTGGGAAATATGCTTAATCAGTGTCTAGCCAAGAATTAGATCAATACCACTTTCATATCTGTGCAATTCAACATGAAGCTGGAGCCAGCAGCCAGTTATCTTAGCTTAGCATAAAGATTAGGAGAAATAGCTTGCTGGTAATAGGGCTGTACCTGATTAAGAATTTTGTGTTGGGTTGTTCAATATGAATATTCCACTATTCATTCCTTTTTCCACAGAGAGTTTGAGAGGTTCAGTGGGACATTAAGGGTGACAGCAACATTTACGTAACACGGTAAACAAACCAAGTTAGCCCTGCAGATAAACAAAAGCCAGACACTGTATCCTATCAAAGGTCCAGTGAATAGAATTAACTGGCATCCAGCAGTGAGGTTGAAGAGCTGAAATTTATCCTATGTCACAAGCATGTAGGAGAACTACAGTGATCAACGTGAAAATGCAAATGGCCCTATCTAAAGTCAGTGTTTGATTTGTCCCTTCTGGCCTACTGTAGAACAGTATGGCAGACTCTGTAGCCCTTTCTAGATAGGAATTGTGCAAATTTGCAGGAAAGCCCAATCGGTCTTTTTTCAGCATTGGCAGTATAAAAACAAAATCAAAAAAATTTTGTTTATACAGAATGCACCTTTTTCAGGGCAATGGGGGGCGTGAGCAAGGAGCTCAGTGGGTGAGGTAAACAGTGACGTGGGAGGGAAGCCGCGGCTGGTCAGTCCTTCGGCGATTCTCTCATAAGTCGGCCCGTCCTTCACCGTTCCTGTCATCTGACGGTTAATGGCCTCTTTGTTTGCAAGGGCAAGGAGGGCACGCAATTCCTTGTCTCCCCAGTTGCTCATCTTTACAGTGTCTGTCAGGTTTGCGTTTCCCTCTTGCTACTAGCTGCTCACTAATTCCTGCTATCAGCTGTTTCCTGTTTATCCACCGCCAGTGGCTCATCATCAACAGCTCCTCCCACAAGTCTTCAACAGCCCCTCCCATTGCGGAAGGGCGCCTTGTTCTGTTTAAACTAAAAGGGTTCTGCCAATATGACTACCCTACGAGGCGGAAAATTGGGCACCTCGGATCAACCCAATCCGGCTCTGTGTGTCTAAACGCTCGCAGCTTGACGGCAAAATGGCCCAACATTCGTGGAAAATCTGGCAGTGTAAAAGGGGCTTGTGACAGATGACCCCCTCTGTACATAAATTTACACAGCTCATTCAAATGTAACAAAAACACAATAATTCTTAGTTTCAGGTGATTATACACCAATGAAAGTTAGTAGTTCTGAATATTATAAACCATTTCTACATTCAGATGCACCTAAATCTTACACACTGAACCTTCAAGTTGCTTTGAGCTGTAAAATCATGACTTCTAAGTAGAAGGCAGAAGATAATGTTATTTCAAAGCCTTTTCAGACAAAGCCTCTCTTTCTCCAAGCAGCTGCCTCCAGCTTACTCAGACTCACCTTGGGTCTGGGTCTGCAGCTGCCTGTACCCGAGAGCACTGAGTAGCTAAGGAGTGTTCACTCTGCAGCTACCAAACAGCCGGGACCGAACAATGCATTCTCATCCCAACTCGTCAAATTTTGGTATTTCATCAATGGAGTTTTACGTCTACATATTATGTGCTAGGTGTCCTGTATCTGTTGTTGACGTTCTGGGATGCCATGTCAATTTACAATTGTTACATGCATTGTGTGGGTTTCACAGGGCATATATGGTTCTGCTTGTTAGATGCACACAATCTTTTTCAAGATGGACGTACAACATTTTTTTCATTGTGCAACAAAAGCATGTGGTTAGTTTTAGGGAAAAAAAAAACATCATGGTTTGGCTCAACATTCACACTGGAAGTGAACAGGTGGCTCCAGTTTGAAAGTCCAGGCTTGTTGGACCCATCCACCT